CACGTCTGTTTGTAATATGTTCATGAGAAAGTAAAACATTCAGCATTGGATGGGTCTCATTAAATGGCCCTAGGAAGGAATGTAATTGTAAATGTAAAAGTGTCCTTTTACAGCCTAGAATGGTAGAGAAATGACATCTGGCCACAAAGAGCTAAAATGCCCTTAGTGTTTCTGAAGTGGTGATAGAGACTGGCGGGAACTCATCATATTGATGGGATGATGTAAATAAAACAAAATGATTAACTTCCTACTACAGACAGCACATTTAGGAATGCTTGTTGAAAAAATAAAAAATAGGGGTATTTTAGTACAGAACTACATCTATTAATAAAGGCTAGCAGTATAGGGTATAATTGCAGAAAAGCCAATCTGCGGAACTCGGTAAAACGGACACTTTGCTGGTTGTAGATTGCTCTAGAACTACAGTTGTGCTCAAAAGTTTGCAAACACAGGCACAAATCGTGAAATTTTGGCCTGGATATTGAAAATATGACTGATCATTCCATAAAATCTGTCTTTTATTTAAGGATAGCTATTATATGAAGCCATTTATTATCACATAGTTGTTTGGCTTCTTTTTAAATCATAATGTTTATAGAAATGGGCCCTCCTAACCATATTGTATTGAACTGTATTGTTGCTGTATTATCTCCCGTTATATTGTAAAGCGCTGAGCAAACTGTTGACGCTATATAAATCCTGTACAATAATAATAGAAATCCCCCAAATGGACCTGATCAAAAGTTTATATGCCCTGGAATTCTTGTCTGTATCAATCAATGTCAATGAGTTTGTTAGTTCACACGTGGATGCACTGAGCAAGCTAGATACAGAGCCATGGGGAGAAGAAAAGAATTGTCAAAAGATCTGCGTAACAAGGTAATGGACCTTTATAAAGATGGAAAAGGACATAAAAATATATCCAAAGCCTTGAATATGCCAGTCAGTACTGTTCAGGGATCTCTTGATACCAAGCCAAGGTCAGGTAGACCAAGAAAGATCGCAGCCACAGTTGCCAGAAGAATTGTTCGGGATGCAAAGAAAAACCCATAGGTAACTTCAGGAGAAATACAGGCTGCTCTGGAAAAAGACTATATGGTTGTTTCAATGAGCACAATATGATGATACTTGAACAAAAATGAGCTGCATGGTCGAGTTGCCAGAAAGAAGTCTTTACTGCGCCAATGCCACAAAAAAGCATGCTGAGGCGTGTCAAGGTGTTATCAGGCATATTGGAACAGGGCTTTGGTGTAGTAATTGCAAGTTAAAAAGCCACAGATAAAACAAAATAGAATAAATATAGTGCAATACTATTTTGACTGTGCAATGCTGAAAATGACTGGCTGCCACTCTAATAAGGTTCACAACCCTCAAAGACTAGAGTTAACTGTATAAGTGCTGCCTAGTAAAACTGAATAACAAAATTAAATATAAACATAAATGCAGTGATGATTAGTCTAGATCCACCTGCTTCTTTATTCATACATGCAAAAACAATGGTGCAGTCTCTTAACTGTGTTGCGAACTATTCCTTTAAATAAGGTGCAAACATTCAGTGCTGTGCTCCCCGCCAGTGATCCCACTTACTCACTGACAGTTGTGGACATTTAGATATGTATAAGAGTCATAAACGCTTTGTGTAAATATCCTGGTGTCGCTGGGGCTTGTAGTCTTCCTCTGTAGCTGTATCTCAATTCAATAGCAATGTACACAGGTATAAGTATTTCTCACATGATACACATATGAAGGAAATAATAGAGGGAATCCACATAGGTAATTTAATTTATTACATATGACACTTAAAATTGGTTACACGCACTTTTAAAAGAAGAATAAGAGCAAAATCACCATACCAGAAGTGAAGCACCGCCATGCGGTCTACCAACTGGATTTGACGACAACCAATATTTCACAAAGAGTGCAGTGCTGTTGGTGAGTGAGTAAATGGGAACAGTTATTTAAAGGAATAGTGCACAACACAGTTAAGAGACTGCACCAGTGTTTTTGCATGAATGACTAATCATCACTGCGTTTATGTATATATTTATAATTTAATTTGTTATTATTCACTTTAACTAGGCAGCGCTTGCACAGTTAGTTCTAACTACTGAGACTTTAAGAACCTATCAAATAATTTTTGCCAATTCACAGATCAGGAAACTGGCTGTAATTATGACCAGTTCTAAGCTACTGTACATAGATACATAGGCTGCAAAAAAGACATCAATTGATCTAGTTCAGCGGTTCTCAACCTGGGGGTCGACCGACCATTTCACAGGGGTCGCCTAAGACCATCGGAAAACACATATTTCCGATGGTCTTAGGAACTGAGACACCGCTCCTCTATCCGTCTTCAGGCGGGTCTGCCCACATGCAGATACTCCCACATTTCCCTGGACCGTGATGTGTGGGCGGGATGACATGCCGCCCCTGTCACCTGGCCACACCCCCAGGGTCACTCAACAGCTCTGCCTCCTCACCGGCGATTGGCCGCCAGAACTGTAGCTCAGGAGAGGCACACAGGCGGCCAATCACCGGCGAGGAGGTGGAGCTTGGAGAAGAGGATCCGAGCTGCAGCGCGAAGATCAAAGAAGATTGAGTGAGGGAGCAGCCAGAGCGAGTGAAGAGGAGAGCGGCCAGAGAAGGAAGACAGCTGACCGGTAAGCACCTGTAAAGTGCAGATGGTGCTGCTGCAGCCAGGTATGCTGGCTGTAGATAGGAGAGGGAGCGAGCCCAGGCTGAAGCAGAGGTCAGCAAGGTAAGTATCATTGGTGTCAGTGGGAGGAATAGTGCCCCATCATTGGTGTCACTAATACCAATGATGGGGCACTATTCCTCTCACTGACACCAACGATGGGGCACTATTTCCACCCAACTGACACCAACGATGGGGCACTATTGGGGGGGGGGGAGAGAGAGAGAGGGAGGGGGGAGAGAGAGAGAGAGAGAGAGAGAGAGAGAGAGACTACTTCCCACATCAAGTTTGCCTCACTTTTGGTTGCCAGTGCGCAACAGTGGGTGGATTTGAAAACCATTATCGGACTGAATAGTGGCTACAGGTCCTCCTACTGATGAGCAATGTCAGTCAACAACCAGATTGACTTGATGGGAATGTAATCTCTTAATTCCCCATCAGGCTCGCTCTGCATACCCAGTGACCTAAGTCATTTCCCACTACATCTCCTACTACTAAACTACTACTAAAGTAATTTTTTGCTATAAGCAAATTGTGTAAAAAAAAAATACTGATCACTTCCCCAAAGTAGTACAATGTTACTATGGTAACATTATACTATTTTGGTCATAGTGAAATATAAAAAAAAAATCTTGAGAAAAAAAATGTAATAAAAAATTAAAACTAATAAAAAAAAAAGAATTACATTTTTTTTTTTCGTACTGTCACCAGTCAGTGTCCCTGATCACCACCATGCCAGTTATATGATGATGCTGTACTGCACTGGTGTTAGTTTGTAGAAAAAAAAAAAAGTGAAAATTATTTTTTTAATTTTCCGAAAAATTATGACAAAAAAATTACAACTTCAAAAAACTTGCCATGCCTCTTATGAAATATGTTGGACTGTCTACTTTGCAAAGGTGATCATTTGGGGGATATCTGTACTGTTCTGACATTCTTGGACCTCTATAAATTAGATTGGCTTCAGGATTGATCAATATTCAGATATACCATAGTTTGTGAACTCTATAACTTTCCTACAAACTAAATAATACATCCTAATTTGGGTTATTTTCACCAAGGACATGTAGTAGAATACATCTTGGCCTAAATTTATTAAGAACAATTATTTATTTGCGGTTATAAATAACAGAAATAAAGAAAAACGTTGTGTGAAGAAAATGATAAAATTTTAGTTTGGGTACAGTGTTGTATGACCGCGCAATTGTCATTCAAAGTGTGAAAACGCAGAAACCTGAAACATGGCCTGGGCAGGAAGGTGGTAAAAGAGCCCAGTATGGAAGCGGTTAAGGACTGCTCCCCATTAAGGATTGGCACCTTTGGGGAGCGGGAATCTGAATTTGACAGGTACCTGCTCCCACTTCCGGTCCGATCGCCTAGGCGATCGGAAACGGAAGGTGTCCTCCCTCCCTCCCTGTAGTCTTTTGGGACACGTGACAGGTCCCAGAAGACTACAAGACCATTCACGAAGCACAGCGCTACTTGCGCATGCGCAGTGGGTACCCGGCTGTAAAGCTGCAAGTTATCACAGCCGGGTGCCCACACTGAAGATGCCGGCCTCCGGGAATCCAGGACGACCGGTGAAACGGGCTGCAGGGGACACACCACGGAACCGAGGGACAGGTAAGTGGCTGTTTTTTTAAAAGTCAGCAGCTACAGTTTTTGTAGCTGCTGACTTATTTTTTGATAGGTTGAGTGGAACTCCGCTTTAAGATTCATCTTCTTCACCATTCTCTAAACATGGTATGTCCTAACTATAGACTGACCTCATGCTGATTAGATAAGAAACCCCAGATAAAACTGTGGGAGAAGGTTAGAACTCTGTCACTGGGGGAGAATTTCCTTCACTACCTGCCCCTGTGACACCTAATGTGTCAGGGTATACCAGGGTGTCATGTGTAATCCTTACAGTAGTGAATGGAATTCAGCTTTAATTGCTTATCTTGTATAGCTGTGCTGCTTTAATAAATAAACCAACCATTCAAAATATTCAGATTTCTGATATTAGGTTTGTTTGGGTAGTGGAACCTCTCCATAAATGATTTCTGAATTTCTGTACTGTGGGGTATGATGCATATTTCCAGCAGCTCTACTATTGTAATAACATGTCTATCTGTACTTATATTGAGTGGTAATACAACCACAATAAAACACTTTGTTCTAACGAAATAAAAAAAAAACCTTTTAGCTGGAGTTGGCCCTTTAAAGCCAATAAAATACTTCTGTGAAAAATTAGTCATGCAATCCTCCATTATTTCTGGCAAAAAAAAAAGTAAAAAAGAAAATCCCCTCAAAAGTAACTTACCCAGGAAATCTGTGCTCTGGTTTATTTCTTTCTGGGCGTTCTGTACAAAGAGAGAGGAAAAAAGCTACTAAGAATTTGTTTTATGGATATGTTACATGAGCACAAATAACAGTAACTGGGAACGGCAAATTCATTTTTCACTTCCGTTCTCCATTTTCATTTCATCTTATGGTTGTGAAAAAAAAAACAACAGAACTGAACTTTACATGCATATACATACATACATACACACACCACAATTCTGCATCACCATTTCACAGTGGAAAAAGTCAATACTCAGATATAGACAGCTTAAGACATGATTGTTTTTCTTGCTTTGGTACCCTATGTTCTTCAATGTAATTATCCCAAGTGAAAGGAAATTATGTACAATCACATAAAAAATATTTCTGCAGCAAATAACTGTTGAAACTCCACAATCGTCAGGATTTTAGAATGACCAATATTTTGTGAGAATAAAAGGGTACAGAAAGCTAGCTCTGGCCAGAGTAAAACAACTGAAACCTTTCAATCTACTGTGGACATGACCTATAATTTTTACTTCTTCCATTTACACAACATTCTAAAAACACTTTGAAAGTGCAGAATAGGTTTTATTGTTATACTGTATAATATATAAAGCCCAACTGAACCCTCTTAAAGCCATATACAGAAATGAATATGCTTTTTTATCAGCCATGTGCTGCAGTAAGGGTTAAAAACCCTGCCACCAAATATAACTTTTGAAACAAGGCTCTCATACATTGTGTTTTCTAGGCTCCTATCACCATTGCTGTCCCTCCCTAAACATTGATTAGGCAGTTTTTAGAGGGGCACGTCAGACTGCTTTGCTGATTTTGAGTGTGAGATTCTCTGATATCATGCAAGCACAGGATTTTACTAACTCCTGTTGCAGCACTTAGATTTAAAAAAGTAAAGTAAAGAGGTCTGTCTGTATATGCAATCTGGATGTATTACAAATAATAAATACATTTTAATTGGGCTTCAATGAAATAAAAATTGGTCCTGGTCAATACTTAGTAGATCAAACTCTGGATGAAATTAAAGCTGTAAGTCTTTTGGGTTAAGTTACAACCACCTTTACCTGCCTAAGTCCAGCAAATGTTCAATCTTTTTGGAAAAACTGCTGTGTGAATTTGCATGGAAACAACTGTTGAACAATTTGCCAAATCTTGGCACAGATTTTCAAGATATGGGCTATGACTGGGCCACTCTAAAACAAAGACTTGTGTGTTTATTCTTTGCCTAAAGTCACTGCTATGCATATTTGGCTGTCGGTTTATGGTCACCCCCCTACTGGAAGTTGAACCTCTATCCCAACTTAGGTCTCTTGCACAATAAAACAGATGCTCCTTTTCGATTATTCTGTATTCAACTTCATCTTTTGTTTCTTGCTTAAACTGGACCAGTCCTTATTTTAACCATGTGAATGGTTTTTCAGGGCGATTGGCAGTTTTGTTTTTTTGCATCATGTAGATTTGTGGAGCACTTGGATTGTGGTCCCCTGGACAGCTTCTCCCATTTCCTCAAATTAGGCAGCACCTTTAGATGTACCTTCGCCCACTTGGCTGATTCACTGACTAATACCCCAAACTCAGTCACTGGATTTTGGAGTTATTATTATGATGTCCGATTTGTTTGGTTTTTTTTTTTTTTAAATAGTGGATTTAAAATGGTGCTATGGAGGATGTTCAAAGTGTGGGAATTTTTTGTTTTGTTTATTAACACAACCCTTCTTATAATTCTCAAAAACGTACTGTCACTTCTTTAGATTTCTTTATGAATAAGGGTCTTCCAGAAACAGATTGTGTGACACTATCTGCACAGAAGTGGGCTCCATTCAGCTACTTGTGTAACATCTGAAAGTAATTGACTGCATAAAAGACTTTAGAGGTTTCACAGCGAAGGAAAGAAACAATTGAGTACTGTCCGTGATACTTTTTTTATTTGCACTAACATACAATTTTGAGGACAAGCTTTCGGGGTATGTCCCCTTCTTCAAGGTCTAAGCAGTACTATTAAAAATCACAAAGTTTAAGCAGAATGTTAGAATGGATTGAGAGAAAAAAAAAAAAAAAAAGGGCTACAGATAAGATACATCAAAAGTGAGGGGGGGAGGGGGGATACAACACTCACACAGAGGGGGTCAAGTTTTAGCTAATAGATAGTCATAAAGCTGTCGGATAGTGGTTGAGGAATAAGACCGTTATCCATGTCCCCTGTTGGATTTAAATTTTGTCTAAAATATTGAGGTCTTCCATATTGTGGCCAATGGTGTCCTACAGGTGTGCAGATTATGTCTTTGTAAATTTCTGTGTTTTCTGTTTTCACCAACATAAGATCCTTTGCTGTGCATTTTCTGCAATGGATGGTTATCTTTAGTGTCAAATAGAATTATCATTCTTAGTTCAAATGTTTTTCTTTCCTGGATGGATTTAAATTTTCCTTTCAGAACTAAAATATTGAGGTCTTCCATATTGTGGCCTGGTTGTGAGAAATGGTGTCCTACAGGTGTGCAGAGGTCATCTTCTTTATGTTCCTTGATGGTATGTCTGTGTAAATTCATCTGTGTTTGCAACCTCTGTCCTGTTTCACCAACATAAGATCCTTTGCTGCATTTTCTGCACTGGATAAGGTATACAACATTACTGGAGGTGCAGCTGTATGATCCGGAGATATTGAAGATCCCTTTTGAGTGTCTGACACTTTTTGATGGATTGATTTGGTTGCACAGCTTGCAGCGTTTCTTATTGCAGGGTTTGCTTCCATTATTTGTGGCATCATAATCAGAAGGAAGTTTCCTACTGATTAGTTTATTTCTGGGGTTGGGGGGTTGTCTGAAAGCCAGTTTGGGGGTTGCTGGAATATTTCTTTCAGAGTTCCATCCTCTGTTATGATGGGTTGTAAATCTTTGATTATTTTTCTTATCCCTTCTAGTGCCGGGTTGTATGTGGTTACTAGAGGTACACGGTTGTTTGTTTTTTTCTCTTTGTACTGAAGCAGATTTTCCCTTCGGGTTCTCAAGGCTGTGGTTATGCTGGTGTTGATAGTTTTGTCCTTGTAACCTTTCTTATGGAAGGCGTCTGCTAGTGTCCCGAGATGTGTATCTCTGTCTCTTGGGTCAGAACATATTCGGTGGTATCTGATGGCCATGGCACGTTTCGTGTGTTGGGGGTGGAAGCTGGAACTGTGGAGGTAGTTGCATCTGTCGGTGGGTTTCCTGTATATTGAGGTGTGAAGCGTATCATCCCTGATGTATACTGTGGTGTCTAGGAAGTTGACCTGTGTGTTTGAGTATTCCATTTTTAGTTTGATTGATGGATGAAAAGTGTTCATCAATGAGTAAAATTGTTTTAGATTTTCTTCACCTTCCGTCCATATGATGAAAAATATCATCAATATAGCGAAAGTATCTGTATGGTTTTTTGTTCCATGCTGTTCAGGAATTGTTCCTCCATGTCAGCCATAAATAAATTTGCATATTGGGGTGCCATTTTACTTCCCATCGCAGTGCCCATACATTGAAGATAGATGTCCTTATTGAAAGCAAAGTAGTTGTGTGTAAGTATGAATTCAATGAGCTGTGTAACATCCTCAGCAGTGTATTTGTTGTTTGGTGAGGATGATAAGGATCTGTGATTTTACTATACAGGGATACTACATCCATAAAGTGTGGAAAGAATTACCACTAACAGCAGTGTATTTGTTGTTTGGTGAGGATGATAAGGATCTGTGACATGCAGCTAATCCATCCTTGTGAGGGATATTACTATACAGGGATACTACATCCATAGTCACTAGAAGTGTATTACACAGCGAAGGAAAGAAATTGGAACTATGTAAATTGTTTTGATATACAGTTGTGCTCAAAAGTTTACATACCCTGGCAGAAATTGTGAAATTTTGGCATTGATATTGCAAATATGACTGATCATGCCAAAAAAATGCTCTTTTATTGAAGGATGATGATCATATGAAGCCATTTATTATCAAATAGTTGTTTGGCTCCTTTTTAAATCATAATGATAACAGAAATCACCCGAATGGCCATGATCAAAAGTTTACATACCCTGGAATGTTTGGCCTGGGTACAGACAAAGTGACACACGGGTTAAAATGCCAATTAGAGGTTAATGTCCCACATCTGTGGCTTTTTAAATTGCAATTAGTGTCAGTGTATAAATAGTCAATGAGTTTGTTTGCTCTTACATGGAAGCACTGACTGGGCTAGATACTGAGCCATGGCGATCAGAAAAGAATTGTCAAAAGTCCTGCATAACAAGGTAATGGAACTTTATAACTTTTGTATCCCGAACAATTCTTCTGGCAGGTTTGGCTGCAATCTTTCTTGGTCTACCTGTACTTGGCTTGGTATCAACAGATCCCTGAACTTTCCACTTCTTAATAGGTGATTTAACAGTACTGATTGGCAAATTCAAGGCTTTGGACATCTTTATATGTCCTTTTCCATCTTTATAAAGTTCCATTACCTTGTTATGCAGGACTTTTGACATGGCTCAGTATGTAGCCCAGTCAGTGCTTCCACGTAAGAGGTAACAAACTCATTGACTATTTATACACTGACACTAATTGAAATTTAAAAAGCCACAGATGTCAGATATTAACCTCTAATTGGCATTTTAACCCCGTGTGTGTCACCTTGTGTGTCTGTACCAAGGCCAAACATTGCAGGGTATATAAACTTTTGATCATGGCCATTTGGGTGATTTCTGTTATCATTATGGTTTAAAAGGAGCCAAACAACTATTTGCAAATAAATGGCTTCATATGATCATTATCCTTCAATAAAAGAGCATTTTTTTGGCACGATCAGTCATATTTTCAATATCAATGCCAATATTTCACAATTTCTGCCAGGGTATGTAAACTTTTGAGCACAACTGTATATGTAAAAAAGTGCTGTGCTACATGATCAAAAAAACACAATCCATATAAAATATAACTAGGAAAACCAAAAACACAGACAATGAATCAAAAATAAAAATTAGAAAGTCCAAACAAATAGTGTTCTTCTGTGGAAAGTC